CCGCTCTTCGGCAACTGAATAGAAATAAGCCCCGAAGCAAACTCAGGCTTGAGAAAGGGCCGCTGTGCCCATCGGGGAGGAAACCTCTCTGCTTCTTAAAGACACTCGGCCGTCCAGGGCGGATGCCGTAAGGCAGCTCACCGCGGCACCGCACGGTTACCTTCTCCCGGCTGCGCTGCTCAACGCTTCCAGCGCCCATCGGCGCGAGACGTCGCAACCCCTGCTGCAGCCCTGCTGCTCGTCATCAAAGGCCTGGGTACCAGCCCTCCCCTCGCCGGCCGCTGCCCCGGCGTCTCCAACACCCAGCGGGAGCTGGTGCTTCGCTGCTACCTCATCAGACCAGACGTCCTGCCAGGAATTAAATTGAAGCACCGAAAATGCATCTTCTCCATAGGAGGGGGGGAAAAAAAAAAAAAGGTGGGAACCTTCCTCTCCTTCCTCCATCTGGTTACATAGAAAATATCCTTCTGTTTTTAAGGGCAATTTAACACTAGTTAAATGACTGTTAATTTAAATCAAACAAGTCTGAAGAGATACAACATGCTGCACTGCTGTTAAAAGCAGCTGAATCTTCATTTGGTCCAGCCAAGACACCGCTGCCCATTTCCTAGGCACTATTATCTGGCTGTCCAAAGACCCCTTTCTGTAGTTTTTAAACTGATATTTAAGCCTACTTTGTTGGCTTTGGCAACACAGTGCAGCCCACTTTTGTATCAGAGACAAAGATTCAAACTTTTCAATCAGAAGTTTTAGTTTTCCACCTATTTTTTCTTGCAAAGCATGGGAGAAAGTCAGAAAAAGAACATGGGGCCAAGCTGATTAAAACCAATTCATCTGACATCCAATTCACCCCCTTTCCAAGAGCAAACCGAGGTGATCCTCCGGCAAGGACATACAAAATAGCTTAAGGAGGAAAAAAGAAACGCTTTGCTCTTCCGTGTTTTGTAGACCCGTCCTCGGCAAGACCCCGAGACGCTGCTCTCCAGGCGTTGCTGGCAGTTCAGCTGAGCCACAAGACAGGTCAGAACAGCAGCTCTATGGGCACCGCAGCACTGGCTATCGATCAGTAATAAACTGATTTTTTCCCCCTTCCCTCTACCCCCCGATGGTAAAGCTAGCCCACATGGAGTGGAAGCAGCACAGAAACCACAGGCAGGGGGACCAGATGATCCCTACGTTTACACGCTTTTCCCCAAATAATATGCACTGATGTGTAGTTTCACAACACACTGTGGCTTCCATACAGACATCTTTGTCCTGAGCAGAATATTTGCAAGAGTTTCTTTAGCCAAAGTCCTGATCTGCTGGAAGACTGCAGCATAAACTAACTGCTCCAATGAAGTTTGGTCTTGAGTTAAGATGCTGGACCTAGGCAGGGAATACAACCAGCTTCAATTCCCCACCTAGAATTATGTTGTGCCTTGAATTACTTCTCTTCAATTGCTCTTGCTCCTTCTGCGAGCCTTGCCCAGGCTGATCAAAATTAACTGTGTGATGGGTCCCACACAGCTCTTCAGGTCCAACCTCCGCTCAGACACTTGTGATAGAGCAGGAGAGCGGCTTTACTTCAAGCCTAACGAAGGCTGCGTAGAAGCCAGTTGGGTTAAGCACTTAGAATCACAGAATCATTAAGGTTGGAAAAAACCTTTAAAGACCATCAAGTCCAACCATCAACCCAACACCACCAGCCCATTAATCCATGTCCTGAAGTGCCACATGTACACATTTTTCGAACACTTCCAGGGATGGTGACTCCACCACCATCCTGGGTAGTCTGTTCCAATGTTTTATCACTCTTTCAGTAAAGAACTTTTTCCTAATATCCAGTCTAAACCTCCCCGGCACAACTTGACATCTTTGTTATTAGAGAGATGCAAGACTTTGGACCCTCCCATGCTTGTTATTCATTCAGAAGAGGACTGAGATACAACAGACTCTGAGCACCTCCCAGGCTTGCCAGTTCTTTTCAGAGACTAAAAGCAGCTACCGCTGTTCAGTACTACTCATTTACCTGTTGCTTCCCTGAAACACTTGCAGAAATAATGCAACATCTAGCTCTCCTGAGATGCTCTGGCAGGTTTGTTTTTTGTTTTTGTTTTGTTTTGTTTTACAGGCCACACTCTGCTACCTCAGGAAAGTTACTCCCAAGTATCTTGGGTAACAAATGACTCCTCAACGTTCAGCAACATAGAACAGATTTTATTTCATAGCTGGAGGAAAAAAGGCCAAAAAACCCCTATTGGTATTTTAGGGATAAGAAAAACTGAGATCTTTGAAAACAAGCAAGCAAATAGAGCACACAGCCAAAAGTATGTTATTCTATGACTATATTCCCTGGGATCTAACCAGGACACCGATGCAAGAAAGCAACCTCCATACTCTCAAGCATCTTTCACTTCAGTACACACACAAAGCAAACACAAAACACCCGCACAAAACAAACCAACCAACCAGGCTTCATGTATTCTCCCTTAGACCACAGGCCACAGCCATTCAAAAAGACTGTGTGAACTATCAGTGATGTTAAACTGGTGTCACTGAATCCCAGACACTACTACAGGTGTTACCAGGTGTCCCAGATGAACTAATTTGTAATGAGATAAACAGCTACATTTCAAGAAAGCTGCCTAAAAATCATTAGCCTTTGAGATTCACAACATTTTTGAGGTAGAAATACAAGATTAATAATAACATCTATAATCCAGCATGCAAATCTTGGACCCTCACCTCTTCCAATGCCCCAGTCATCAGTGCACATTAAGTATAGGCACCTTAGCAGGAGAATACTCATATAAATTCATGTTACAGCTAAGGTTCTTTACTAACCTTTAACAGATTTTCTTTAACGAGCTCATCTACTTATTTGACTATGCTAAAACATACAGCACCCAAAACAGTCTACGGCTGTCACTGCCATGAGTCTGCTCACACTGCTTGAAATACCTCTTCTATTTTGAGCCTGCCTCCTATCAGCTTCTTTTAACACGCCCTTGCTCTTGAACTAGGAGAGACAGTAAGAAATAATCCCTGCACTCCCTTTACCACATGCTTCATGATTTTATAACTTCGCTTTCATGAGCCAAAATCCATCCAATGGATTAAGGGACTTGATTTATCCTCACTGCAAGACTTCTTTTAAGGCAAGTTTTATTTAATGATTAACAAGAATGAAATAAGCAGGATCCATGCCACTGACCTCTAGTTTTTGTGTACTTACCTGTTGCTTCAGTAGTGGTCTGGCATCAAATTCTACTTACTGCAGTTCTGTGAGTCTCTTTAAGTGTGCAAGTCTACATAAGTTCATCACACTCAAACTCTGAATTCCTGAAGAGACCTGAAGGAGATGGGCCAGAGTTAATCTCAAGGGCACTTCAACGAGAAGGGTAAGTAAGGATCATATCAGTGTGACATGAAGGGATTCTTAATGCAATTTGATAGCAACTCTGCTTGAAAACAGGACTTGATTCAAAGGAAGACAACCTTAGGAAAAGTTCAGTGTGGCTTAAAAAAAAATTTTAAAAATTGATAGCAATTTTCTAAGTTTCTTTTCAGCTACCAAAGAACAATGGCTCTTAAGATCTGTAAATCTGCTGCCTTTACCTGAGGACATAGAAGGGAATGGCTGATGGGTCAAATTTCTGCCTGGTACGTAACAGAACAGCTCCATTCTTAACAGAATCTTGCAGAGATTCACTGCTACTTTTGCAGAGAATACTGCATTAGGTATATCGATGTGCTATGAAATGCCAAGTTAAAATGTGCTACAATTGTTAAAATAAATGACCAAGTCCAGGCAGTATTGACTCAGTACCTTACTCGCTGCCAGTGTTTATCTGCACAAAACCCCCAACCCATTCATCCCGTGGGTTGTTCCATTTATTAACAAGTCTTGCATTTTTGTTTGCTCGCACAGACATGCGAGTACCTTGCATTTAGTGAAAAGGCTAGCTTAAGTGATAGATCAAGACACTCCAGCTACTGAAGTCTAGTAGATGCTATTGAAAACTACACCTGTTACACACAGTGTATAGTTCTAGGAGTTGTATAGACCATATTGAAAATTGGCATAGGGTCACCAATGACAATGATTACGGGAAACAATTGTGTCTCACGCTGAGGAGCTGCTCTTGCAGGTGGATATGGTATCTTCACAGACACCTACTTATGTTTCCATGTACCTGTTGAGATACATATGGACTATGTACTTCTACAGCTAAGCTGATGCAAAAAGGATACTCCAAGATTACTGGCACCAGAAGTTTTGTTATTACAAGCAATACAAAAGCAAAACACAAGAAACTTTTATCCCACGACCATCATTCTCATTGTATATTATTACAAGACACCATTTTAAAATTATGAATTCACAACTAAGGCAATACACAAGATGCAAGACATTACATAAGAGCACAGAGTGAGAAGTAATATAATTCTGACAATAACTTATGATCAATTATGAGGAAAGAATTAAAAATTTATTGTAATACGAAAGAGTCAAATATTGTTCCAATGTAGCCAGCTAACATTAAGTACAATTGTGCAAAGCGAGGCATAATTCTTGTGATCATTAATTTTTTTTCATTAGAGTAACCATGATAGTAACAATCCATACTTATCAAATTATTATAATCAAAAATATTTTTGTAAGGATCCTGATGCCTAACTTTCAGAAAACAGAACTGAATTAGAGTTACACATTTCCAAGTGTGAAAGAGGACAGAAACAAAGAAAGCATTACTCCTGCTACAACTATGGAATTTTAGACAAAGATTTTTTAAAGATAGTGTTTTCAAAATTGTCTACTTTCAAATGAATTCAGGGTTATCCCATGCCAAGTATTTCCTGCAAAACTCAGTTGTAAGAAGTTGTAAGAAACATCACATGCTGTCTGACAGAAGAGATGTCTACACAGGCAAATCACTATTTTCAAATGTAGAATGTGTTTTTTTTTTTAAAAATACAAATTCTGGCCCAGATGGGAAATCTTGACACATACAGTAGATCTTGTCAATGGATATTCAACACAAAAGAAATGGGGTCACGCACTATCACCTACAAAGGGCTGGTTTAAATCAAGAATGCAAAAGTTTTCATTTTGTAACTAAGATTTTTCAAAATGCCAGTGATTATTACAGTTAAGTTAAATGCAAAAATAAAGCAGACAAGGCACATTTTTCAATGCAGTCTATTTCTCTTCTCCATTGTAAGTTCATTTATCACAGCATATCAGTGATCTTAGTAACTCATTTACATGGCCAAAGCTCTTCTGTATTCCTAAGTGCAAGACATAAATCATAGCTTCAGACCAGTCTTTACCAGAGGGTTCCAACTGCTCAAGATTCACCACATTTTAAAGCCTTGCTCACGAGACATTGATATTCATTTTACAGGCAGGAGCTGAAATGACATCACACAGTCTACAAGCCAGCTGGAGGGGGCCATCCACACTTTGCCCTGACGAATTTTCTCCGGCTTGAATTTAGAAGACACATCATAGATTACATACTGAGTGCAAAATCTCTGGTCAGAGGTAGATTCTGCATGGTATGCCACCGTATTGACTGTCTGAGTCACATCGCTGTCTGGTTTTGGCTGCCTAACCAGAATTTGTCCTCCTGCTGCTTTGACCAACTCCACAAGATCACTCTTCTGGTGACGGTTGAAAGATCCCAAAAAATAGAAGTAGCATCCATCAAACAACTTAGGCAACTAAGTGGAAGGAAAAAAAAGTATAAATACAGGACTTCACAACTGAGCACATAGGGAAAAAAGTGGAAAGGAACAATGAGTGCCTACAAAAAACCCAATTAAAATAACCAACACTAGAACCTCGTACAGCAACTTAACATGTAAGGTCCCCAGTATAAGTATGCAATCAAGAAAGGCTTGCTTACATGGTAAATTCTTGCCTATGTTTAAATATTTTCCAGCACAACAAGGTTTAACTATGAGCTAGGAATATTTACAGCTCCTGTTACAATACATTTAATGACCTTCTCCAGTGTAATCCAGAAATTAACCCAGTTAAATATAAAAGTGTCCCTATATGGAAACAGGTAGTAATAAAACCATCTTTCTTTCGACTTTCAGATAATTTCAACTAGGTTCTAAAGCTCAGCAGAGAAGACCAAAGCAGCATCATTTCCTGTCCCATACAGCTTCTTCCATGAATGTAATACAGTGTTCCCTCTGACAAGGTTAGAGCAACATAGAGCTAATAGAGAAAAGTGACAGCTTTATGGGTGTTCGCAGTTCTTTCGATCGCCTTGCACATAATCAAATTTCTGGACAAGACCACATTAAAATTTTACATCTACTGCACCTGCACATGTGGCAAAGGGCAAAAATGTATGAACCAAAGGTCATTAAGATAATCAGTCTCAAGCAATAAAACCCACCAGCTGTTCTCTGTTGAGCCGGCCTCTTTGTGGGCCACCTTGGATTTCATACTTTTCTTCTTGTTCTCGTGCTTTGGTTTGTAGACAGGCTTGCACCCCTACAAAAAATGCAATAAGGAAGGCAAAGATTAGAGATGCTACATTTTAAAGAGATTTGCATGTCATTTTAGGGACTAAAGAGTTGCACTCAGGTAAAAGCATTACCCACAATGCAAAACGTCACATTCACATTGCAAAGCTTGTGTGCAATTTGCTTTTAAACTTGAAAAAATTTACAACAGCAGTTGAAGATGCAAGTTAGATGGAGAGAAGCACTATCACACTAAAATCAGCGCTGTAAACACTAGAAATTATTAGCTTTTCCTCTTACGCACTAAAGGTCAACCACTTAATGTCAAATGTCAAATTGCTGATCATTTGGAAGCTTAAAGCCAGCACATAGAACCAACTCCGCAGTTATAAAATGGAAGCAATTGCCTGATAAAGAGCAATTACAAGCAAGCACAAAGCTGTTAGGAAACAGCTATGGCCTCAAATAACAAATCCGATGGGATTTCAAGGTCTCCAAGATCAGCACAAACTGGAGATTTATGCTAGGGTTTAACAGTGGCATTCATTTTTGTTACCACTGCTGCATAATGAGATTGTCTTTCAGAGTCAACATGGTTTTACCTTGTTTTAAGGCCAGTTATTTTTTCCAGTACAGAATGCTCTGATGCTCATGTATCACTAACATCAATTAAGCGTACTACCTGACCTCACTTTGGAAAAAGAAATTTCTGTGGTCACCCATTCAAGGATGGAACATTTTGCCCACACATCCATTGTACTCATTAATAAAAATTACCCAAGGAAGAAAGTTTGCAAAGCTGATTTTGAAAACTGTTCCATCAGGATTTACAATGCTGTCAAGGTTGTAACTTCTAAAGCAGTACCTCACTCCTTGCAGTGACTTACTCAGGCAACTTATTTCCACTGTGCAAATATGAAACCCACAATGTCTAAAAAAATGCAAACTGAACAAATTCAGAAGTGTGGCAGGTTGATCCTAAAAAGGAAGCAAGCCCAGGATTGTGAAAAGTATCACTGGCAAAGGTACTTGGATAACATGGCAATAAGTAGCTATGATTCTAGAAGTCCCTCTAGAGAGATCTTGGAAGCCAACTGTAATTTACTACCAGTTGATACAAACTCACAGACTGCAATGGGAGTCTTACTACAAGTCCTCCAATGTACTTACATAAAAAAAACTATACAGAAAACCACAACTGGCTGAATACTATGATAATACAGATTTTCCCTCCATGTACAAGTATTGGGTTGATTGTGTTTGTTCATTCCTTCAGAAAAATTAACATGAACTTGCACAAAACTAGAAGAGCAACATAGTAATGTATTTTCCAGAAAAAGCAACCTAGATATTCATTACTGATAACAGCAGTGATTACTGATAACTTGTTTTCAAAGTCCTCACAACTCAAAAACTAAAAGATATTTCAAATTTTTTTTTAAATCACAACTCAACAAGACTTCCTGTGTCAATTTGCCTCTAACTTACACAGCTATTCTTTCCTTCCAAGAAAATACATATGTTAATGGGTGCCACTTACAATAAGGGAAGAACTGTCTCATCTAGTCTCAAGAACGGAACCATCCATTAAGAGCATGTTTTATTTCAATCTACCAAAGGCTCAATTTCAAGGACTTTCATTCCAGAGACGATATTTTTATACAATGAGTATATCCAGAGACGATATTTTTATACAATGAGTATATCACAAATTGAGCATACAGTGCCAGCATCAGTAAATGAAGCAAATTTGATATGAAAGTAATAAAAGATTGAATGAATACAAAAGACTATGATGTCTTTTCATACACTTACTTCCCTGAAAAAAAAAATTAAGTCATGAAAGTGACTAATGTTAGTGCAATATTTATTTTAGCAGAAAACACAAAATAAGTTATGTCTGTTCTGCGTACATATGTCTGTCCATTTTACAAATTCCTTGGAAGACTTGGCAGTGTATGCCTCAAAGTTCCTTGTCACATAGAACAATCCTCTAAAAAAACCAGAAGAAACTCATCTACATGCATCCCATTTTCATTGTAGCTATAAGAACAAGATAAACGTTTATTTCCTTGAAAAACTAGAAATATACAAACAGACCATTCATCTAGCCAGTGTCTGTGTGATCAGCATTTTCATTAATTTTAACTTTTCTTAACCAGTTAGAATCAGAACAGATCTGTGTCTTGACAGATTTGTGGCACAAAAGCTATGCATTCCAGGTAGGATAAAAAAGCCATGAACATAAGTTCTGTGTCAAGGCGTTTCTCTCTAACATAAATAAGTTTAAGAGGCAACACTGTTAGGCACACACATCCCCACCCTCTGTGGAGGAACAGACCATGTTTCTCGGTGATGGTAAAATAGTACCTTTTCAACTCCTGAATATATTTTTCATGTAAGATGTAGAAGCAGAACTTGCTCTGACTCATGGGTCTTGTTGTATTTGATAGGTAAGAGCAAATGCTCCTTGGAACCATCGTGGCTCATGGACATTTCAAGGAGTCTCATCTAACACTTCGTCTATATGCAGATAGCAAGAGAGGAAAGTCATCGGAATCCTCAAGCTCAGAAGAGGTGGTGCTTCAGGCTTCAACATACTTCATGGAAATTTTATCAACAGCACAACTAACCCATAGTAAGAGTATCACTTGGAAAGAGACAAGACAAAGGCAGGCTAACAGCAAAAGGAGAGCCTGAGGCACAAGGAGATGAGGCAAGCAGCATGTCATGCGTCATCAGAATCATGGTCTACATATATATTCAGAAAACAGACACAGTTAGCAACTGATGTCTGAGGAAGGTGCTTACAAGTCTAAAAGTCAAGGAGTGTCCATCCATGGAGGAAGGTTTCCTACCTAGAAAGAAGCTACAGTAACTTAATTGATAGAGACCAGTACATCCTTCAACTCCAGACTTTGTTCAGACTGATTTCTTCTGAAGTTACTAATATCTCTTCAGCAACTTCTGCATACTAGTAAGAGATTTTGTCTTAAAGAATTAAGTGATTCACACACCGTAACAAAAAAGAAAATCGGCAAAACAAGAGGGAAATATTCCCCTGTGCTCGTATTTGAGATGAAGTGACAGAGGGCTCAAACTGTGTTTCTACCCAATTCATTACGCATTTGTCTAAACAAAAAGTTCTTTATTTGCCCATTCTTTCCCCATCCCTGCCAACTTAGTGTCAAGTCACTTGCTCTTTGATCGCTATTTTTGCATTATTACTTCCAGAGGCAGCAACTCCAACTGGATACAATAGTCTAAGTGAGGTTATCAAAGACAGCATAATCGGTTTCAGTTGCATTACGGTGTCATTTGGAAGCACCAGGTACGTACAAGCTTTATTGCTCTTCTAAGAGATGGTACAACCACCACAAGATGACCTTGTGCTAAAAAAACCCCTCAATTTCACACTTAAGGGTAGGGATACAAACAGATGATCGGAGCATACTGTAGGGCCTTCCAAATTTTTTTTTTTTTTTACAGCTAGGGATTTTATTTTCTCTAACAACTGAGTGCTAAGCTGGATTCACCCAGTAAAGCCCAGGTCTTTTTCTTGAGTAGGCGTTATTAATTTTAAAGCTGCCAGTGTGCATAAGTGGCTGGATAACATGACAGTTCCCTTTTAACAGTCCCTCCATCAGACTGAGTGTCATCCTGATTAAGAGGACATATAAAAGGAAATGAAATTCAATACTGTACTCAAAGGTATATCACTCCATTACTTTTATAGGGAAATTTCCAGAAGCTCTGTTGACCTTACAGTACTCTATTTAAGTCAGAGGTACAGTATCCTTTAACTTCAAACGGGAGCCATGTTAAATAGATTCCCAGAGCTCCTGAGATTAGACTCTCATTTGTTTGGCACCGTACTGAAAAGCCACCAGTGAGGACTTGATGCCAAGACACTGGTCAAACGAATGGACCAAAAAAAAGAATTGCTATTATCCTAATTAAGAAGTGATCAGGATACCATCAATACTATCCCACCTCCCTTCTGAAATTGAGATTAGGCATCTTAAGTACTTAGGCAAAAAAAGTTTCAGCACAGGACTGAATCTCAGAAGGACGAGGACATCCTTAAAGAAGCTTTCTAAAAATGGAGGGGAAGTAGACTTACTTTTGAGATGACACCTGTGATTTTAGGAGGGGACAGAGATCAAGGTTACATTGTTTTCCTTCCCACATTCACAGTTTGTGCATTCCTTACAGGCCAGCCTGACTAAAAGGCTGTTCTGTTATAAAATAAAGTAAGACCACTCAACTTACTGGGGACCTCAGCCAATCTTGATTTATTCCTTGGTACTGTTGCCAGTAAGAGCTGTGGACCTTCTAGGTTTGAGGTTGATCAAGTTTATTCATTTAACATCTTCTCTTCCCTAAAGAGCCTGATTATTGCAACTACCCTTTAATGGTCCTCTAGTTTAATCACAGTAGCTGGATCAGTTACCCACAAAAGGGTAAGACTTGTACCAAGGCAAGTGGCATTCTTCCACTTCACATGGACCAGAGCTGTTTTGTAGTGCCTAGTTCAAGTGTGCAAGAGCTCATTAATAAAGCTTGCCTGACAGAAGACCATACTGGGGCAAGATCACATGTGCAGAGGGGTCATGCAAAGTTCTTTCCTAGAAATACAGAACATTAGAAGTTTAAAAGCCTCTTAAACAGCTGGTTTCACACTTGCAACTTGTAGATCACATAACAAGATCATTTGCACCAAATTCAAGCAAAACCCAAGCCTGCATTAAGGTCCCTAGAAAACATTGCAGAAAGTTTTAGCTCAGTACAACTGCATTTTAGCTTGATGCCACCACATTTGGCAAGGACAATACTGCACTTTTTCCCCCCTCATTAGCAAGATCAGTAAAGCATCACTATTTATACTCATTCTTATTACCTCACTGAACAGCTGCCCCTTCCTTCTCACTTTCTAGTACATAAGGAACAAGCAGCTTAAAAGGGTGTCCACTAATGGTATTGTTAATTGGCCTTTGATACAACTGTAGCTATTAGTACTGGAAATAA